AATTGCAGTGATTCTCCTGCTTAATATATGACAGTCCGCCATAAATATAACCATCCAGCAGTTTTTTGGGAGAAAACACCAAAGAAGGCGCTTTCAACTATGCTACCTTCAAGGTTTGTCAGCATTTTGTTTACATTAACAAGCTTGTCATAAACTTGCCTGCCAGCCAAAGAGAGCTTGGATATTTCCATGACCACAGAATTGGTTTCAGCAACTTCTAAATAGCAGTGCACTGGATCACTTGTGGAAAGAAAACTTTAGAGTTTCTCGTGATACTTTTGAATATACATGCCAGCTCGTTGGACCAGCGCTCCAGCAACAAAACTCTAGGATGCAAGATGCCATTCAGTAGGGATAAAGTCAGTTCTTTTGACTGGAATATTGAGGAATTTTAAAATTGCAGCTTTTTCTTGTGCCTTTGTCTACCCACAAGAATGGACTCCTTCCTTCCTCCATTTACACTCTATCCATTGGCAGCTCTTCAAGCCCAGTTTATGCAAGAACCTCCTCTTTTCTTTGTCATTCCACCACTATTTGCAACAGCCTTGCAAATTCTGGAATAGAGAGCTTTCTTTTCTTATTTATTCCTTTCTGTTCTGGCCCTATCAATGGGTTGCAAATCAGCTGTCATTATTTCCTCATAATGTCAGCCTTATACTAATAAAACTAGGCAACATATCGCTCTGAAAGTAGGTGTAACAAAAGCCACTCTTCCTTAATTATTTTCAGACTGGTCCTAATTGGGTGTGGCTTTCAATGTCTGTTAAAGCAGGAACCCTCTCAGAACCAATATCTTTTTCACATTTTTCTTTGAGGGTTACTTATGATGGCTTACCTCAAAATTCAAGTTCATTCATTTTTGACATTATGTTATCCTTCTTTTGATGGTCACACAGCAAATGCTGGGCATAATGGAGAGGTCTACTGAAACCTTTACCCAAAGCCTTTTCTCTGTGGGTACCACACACTAGGACATTTGAGTGTTTCCATTTAGCTTTATTGTAGTTGACAAAAGCTTTTGGTAACTAGATGGTTCCTTTTTGCAGTGGATGAGGGCTGGTCCAATCTAGACTCTCCTTGTAATCTCTTTTTCAGAGAAGGAAGTGCCTTATATGGTTAGAGTCACATAATATTATTAAATGTAAGGTCCATTCTAAAACACTAAATCGACTAGGATTGATACAAAATGTCTTAATTTCCTTAAGTTGTTGGTCTGTGGCTAAGACAACACAAGGATAAAGAGGTGTAAAGGGTATATAAGGACACTTTATTTACGACTCCCTTTGCAGGGTTATTCTTTGATAATTACACAAGTATTTTTTAAATAACTTTATTGGGTTTACAACATAGTATTAACTACAAAAAACATATTACATAGAGACAAAAATAAATGAAGATAGGAACAAAAATTAATTCTAACCCAAAAGGGCATGTGCAAACAGGACTGGCGTCCCATGCGAGGCACCATCCTGTAGCTAAAATACAATAAAACACAAGAAATCTATATTATACAACAAGTTTTTGTGGTGTCAGTTGCACCTATAGCTTGTGGCAGAAGCAAGTTCTAACTAGTGTCCATGTGCTGGGCCAGTCAATGTCAAAGGATGTTCTCAGGCGGTCAAAAAGTGTTTGTTCAATGAAAAGCAGGAAGGAGAGCAGACTCGAAAAACTAAAAGAAGGAGCAATAGAACAAGAGTAAATCCAAAGTTTCATAATGCAATTAAAGTAGGAGGCCTGGAAAGTGCTCGTTTTACAGATTGGTGTTTTTAAATTAAAGGAGTTGATTAGTCTAGTATGGCTGTGAGAAATAAAGCTACAGGAGTTCATTAATGTTACTGTGAAGTTAAAAAAATTGAATTAACATATACACAGAGAAACTATCAATTAAGAGATGAGAATTAACAGCAAAACATGATAAATCACTTGTATCAGAAATTAAGTATATTACAATTGGAGATAGTGTGATGAATGCACCTAGAATCAGGTAGTGAGGTGCAGTAGGATCTGATGAAATCTCTACTTTACAGGCAAAGGTGGTTTTATTACAGTCTGTAACTTTCTAAATGTTTTTGATCTGTCATACATTCTAGCATGGCTACCTATGTGCCTAAAATCTAGGACTGTTCCCTTTCCTTCATAGCTTTTAAAAAATACCCTACTAGGAGGTTCAGATTTTGCAGGCTTTTTTAACCCCTCCATGGTGGTACATGAGTTGTAGTGATACTGTGTTGACAGACCTCTTTGCACTACGATGTGTTTTAGTCTTACTGTTGTGATCACCACTGTCAAAGACATATTGGAGAAAGGAAATCTTTCTTCTGGAATCTGAAGAAGGGGACTGCTATTCTGTAATGCCTCAGGGCTAAACACAGATTGTGCCAACTAGGAAGAACAGATTTTAGGGAATGCAGTTTCTTCTCTCTTTTTCTGAACATTCAAGTGCAGAAAACAATGAAGGCTAGTTAGAGTGGGATCAGTGTCTTTAATGCGAGTTTACAGTGTCCCATGAGTTTTCATGTCTGTAGACTGTCATTATGTTAAGAGTTGGGTAAGTGTCTTTTTCTTCCTGAAAAGCTTGCCAATTGCCCACTGTATTCCCCTAACATCATGCATTATTGCTGTGAGGTGGTTTGCTACAGCAAAAGAAGTGACCACTTCAAAAAACTGTCCTAGTTTTTCAGCGTGTGTCAACAAATAGTTCCTTGCTGATTTGACATGAATAGCAATAACAATGTTCATTGACAACATCCTAACTATGTCCACTGTAATGGTGAGAGTCTAAGTCCACAAGTCGGAATAATGTAAGAAAGGTGGTTGGATCTCTGCGGGCAAGTGGGAGTCCTGAGGAAAGTCAGAATGTGGCTGTGATTAGTGGTAAATAGGGGTCGGTATAGCGCCTAACCAATCAGAATCGAGTATTTGTGTCACGTGGTACAAATGGACCAATCAAAAAGCCGGATTTTTCACATTCCGAGCTATTGGTACCAAGTTTTCTGGGGGAAAAAACGGTTTGCTAACGTCAACTATTTGCCACGATGACAAATACTTGTTAACGTGTTTGTTGTTTGCTTCTGTTTCTTTTTTTTTAAATTTTATTAGCAGTTTGCTAATATTATAAGCAATGTTGTTTTTCGGAAGAGGAGGTGGAAGAGGGTTCGTCAGGATTTCAGATGGAATTGCTGCGAGACTGTTGTCAGCGTGGGAATTTGGTTTGAGCGGGTAAGATGAGAATATATTTTTTTTGGGGGGGGGGTTTATAAGTAAACGTGACAAAAAAATGAGATAAAAAACTGTGTTTTAATCATTACCATAGCACAATTTTTTGGTAACCTCTATAGACAGTTTTGTCCCAAGTGGAATAAAAAATTACAATTCATAAAAGTCAAGAATGGGGTTTAAGATAATATTCTTTTATTCAAAAAGTTGAAATATGAAGCTGCGTAATTTTCTGTTCGTAATATTTTTTTGATGAGTTTTTTACTTTTTTTTGGCGGACTTTTTCTTGTTACTTTTCGATAAAAACTGTTTTTAATTATCTTTAAAGAACTTATCATCTTCAAAGCACATGTTTTGGAAACCTGTGTAAACAGCTCTGTCCCAAGGAGAGTGATAATAACCGTTCATAAAGTCAAGAATGGAGCTGAGATAATACTCTTTATCTAAAAGTTGAATATGAAGCTGCGTAATTTTTTGTTCATAATGTTTTTCGAGATTAAAGCAGTCATCTTTAAGTTTTTTGATGAGTTTTTTGATTTTTTTGTATTTTTTTTTCCTGTTATTCCTCGTCATGATTTAAGAGCATTAATGCTGGATAGCGGAGGTTTTCACCTTTCTTTGCCAACTTTGTCCACAGTCTTTTGAAGGGATTTTTGCTTGATACAGATAGACTTTTTTTGGGTTGAATCAAATGATACTTTCAATGACGGAGTGATGATACGGTTGATTTAGCCACTGTTTCACGGTTTCATCAGTGGGTTGAGCCTCAAGATCAAAAGTCACGTTGATTGTAGTGTTGTCTTTATCTGCAGGGATGATGAGGAAATAGGTGTGTTTTACCTCAATGTCTTTATCGTAGAATTTACAACAGTAAAGTTCAAGATCAAGATCAATTTCATTCATGATGCTGTGGTTGGAAATCGAGGTGTGGAGATGCATTTATAGCCGTAGGGAAATGATTGAAAGGTGTCATGGTTGATGACACGTTTGTCAAAAACGATTTTGTACTTTTTGTCTTGCGATACTGTTTGGATGGTTTTTTTTTGCTGCATATCGTTATTTTATGTGGATTTTGTAGTGTTAATGTGCACTGATCATCTTCTGGCTGTAGTATTTTGTTGAGGACTAAATCTTTCATGCTTTTGAAATTCAGGATTTTTTGTCCTCGTTCATTGAGAGTGAATCCTCTGACTTTACAGGTTTGTTTTCCTTGGAAGGTGTTGTAGGTGTAGTTCTTAGGTCCGGCAGCAACAAACTCGAATTCGCCAAGATAGTTGCCAACAGGAATTGAAGTTCCTGTAGGTTTTTTTGTGTATATGATAGAGTCTGTGTCCATGTACAACACTCTTTCTTTCAAGGTATCTAAGGCGTCATACCGTTTCAATCGGGCATAGCTGGTCGTGAAGCAGGCAATAAAAATATTGACATTAGTTTGAACTGGATCACATACTTCTTGAAAGTTGTGAAAGACTTCTACCATATCTACATTGATAATTTCTATCCTATGAACTATCTGTCGGTCGTCCATGATGATTTAGAAGAATTTGCTTGGCTTTGTGCACGTGGTGACTTGGGTTTGGTTGGGGCATTGTCCTAATTTTCCCCAGAAAGAATTCAGCATTAATTTGGCAAGTGATCGCAGACCTGGGTTCTTTTCAATGCGTTGATAGTCTAGTTGAATGTCTTGATGTTTTCGATAGTCATCGAGATAGTCCATCTTTTTTTGTTCTGTGTTGCATTCTGCGGGCCATCCTGAAGCTTCCTGTTTGATCTTCATAAAGTTTTTATGTATGATTGAAAGAGTTTCTTTGAACGTTACCTGTGAGGGTCCGTTCCTCAATGGAATGAGGGCAGGTTTCGCTTTTTTTGTTGTTTGTGGGTTGCTGTTTTATCTGTTGCTGCGCGCATGTTCTGCATAATGGGAATAGGAGTTTGGAGGCGTACCTGTATGGTAATACGGGATGATATAATTGGGGGGGTAAAATTTTGCATTTTACCAACCTGTAGTATCTGCTGATGTCTGTGGTCTTTGGCTGGTCGATGAATTCTGGGTGACCGATGGGGTACTCGCATTCCAAATTTGCGCACGGGTACAACAAAATCATGTCGCTGTAATGGATTTGTTAGTTTTCTTCAACTTTGTGATGAAGTTTGATGGCATTTGTTCTACCACCAAAAAATGCTTTGCGAGGGTTGAGAGGTGTAACGATGTCAAGTGTTTCTACAAATTCTTTGAGATGATTATCTGATTATATCATGTGTTGCCACTTGCATTCCCACATTTCTTTCATGCGGTAACCCAGGGCTGTTAAATGTTGGATTTTAGCCCTGGTTTGTTGACGGACATCTCGCATGGTCTTATTTTGATGAATGGGATGTCTCATGGTACATATTTTATTGTGTTTTTCTGTTACATTTTTTTAAATTAAAAAAAAAAGAAAATTACAGCAGTATAAAGTAAATAAAATCGTATAAGGTCAGTAAATAAATAAACAAAAATATTAATACAAGGCTACCCAAGGTAAAGTTATTTCAACTGAGTGATTGTAAAAGTTTTTCCCATTTCATTAAGTGCAGGTCTAGTTTTTTCTTTTCTTTAGCTAGGTATTCTTCTATTCTGAAAATTTTTTTAAGGTGTGCGAGGAAGATAATAAAGCTTGGGGTAATAGATTTCTGTCTGCAGAGAAAGATGGTCTGCTTCACTATTAACATGATGTGATTTAAAAGCATAAAGTGATTATCGACATCAAATAAGCCAAACATAATATTAATTTGATCTGTTAGATCAGGAAGCGTTTCAATACCGCATTCATGTAACCAACTAAAGATTTCTTTTCAGAAGGCTTTAGAGTGTTCACAAAAAACAAAAAGATGTTCAAGGGTTTCCTCGTTCTTATCACAGAATGAGCATAAAGGTGACTCAACCAGTGTAAGCTTAAATAGCTTAATATTCTATTTAAGATTTTGTACTGATAATCTCTCGTATATGTATCTAACGCGACCTGGAAAGGCAAACTGTATATCTTATTCCACACGAGCTCAGAATCGTGAAACATTTCGTTATATCTCAACTGTGCTGTGGGGGTTTCACACAAATCAGACATATGCGCTTCGTAAAACGTTTTATTGTCCATTTCTGATAAAGACACTTTAGCAGAATTTAAAACCAAGTTATAATCCTGAGGGTCAAAAGGGGGAGTGTGTGGTATCGCCTTAGATTTTAGCTCTTTCTTCCAATTGACAGGAATAGCGTCTATTAACCCATGCCAGGAGAGGAAGTTCCTGGGTTGGATATTCTTAGACTGTAAGTCAGACAACGTATAAAAATGCCCATTTGACTTCACCATGTCACAAATTTTATGCAATCCTGCCTCGGAGTAAAAACACGATTTTTTGTTAATCAAGATGTTCTTGTTGTTCCAAATTATTTCATTCAAGATGTCCTTGACTTGATTTGGATTAGTTGTATTGAATTTAGACCATAATGTTAAGCATTCTTTGTAAAAAGGGCTAACTTTAACAGGAAGATCGCAGAGGCGAAAATTGCACTTTAAAAGATATGGGCCCCCAACCGGCATCAAAAGCGAGTCGATGACAATTCTCCAGTCAGCAACATATTCGGGGTCTAAGGCCCGGTTCAAACGTCGAATTTTACATGTGCCGAACCTAATAGCAATTCGGGTCGACTCGAATAATTAGGTTCGGCAGTTGATTCAAATGTCGAACCTAAATATGTCGAACTTAATTGAGAAACTGAACATGACTCTACTGCGGTCAGCGGTTATTGCTTACCAAAATGGCGGAAAAAAATGTGGGAAATACAAATGCTGGAAATGAAGAGCTTGTTTTTCTTGCAAATGCGATCAAGGAGGGTAGAAAAAGGCGACTTAAGATGCAGTTGGCATTAAACAACCTTGCTGCCAGGAGAAGACGAGTTTTGAATTTGGCTTGCCTTGTATTATTGCTTATTTCC